GTTTGTTCACTTTACAACCGCATCTCATCTTACACCAAAACCCTAAATTATTTGGAATAGTGTTGTGTAAAGCAAACCAAAATCCGACAACCCTGGTGCCCAGACACAAGCACGCTGGAGTCCTAATGAGAATGCTGCCTTTATGTGCCACTCTTTATACTACCAACAGTGTAACTATGTCCTTTTTGGAAAGTTAATCTTAGACTCCCCGAGTTGTACATTGCTGCTCTTGCGAGGTTAGTGTAAATTTCCTGTGTCTGAATGATGATATGGATGGGTCTACTTCTCTGTTTACTAGTTACTTTGAATTACAAATGTTATTATTCATTAATAATGCAGGAGACTGCTAATAGCCTGCATCAGTGTACAAATGGAGAACTAAAAATCTGAGTATGGCTCCATGAATCACCGTGAAACCTCAAGTTTGACCTCACTCATTACTCTAAACTTCTCTCTTCCTTCTGTTTCTGACTGTATCTTTGATATTTTTACTGATGACTCTTCTTTAAGCTACACTCTGAATATGTATTTATAATTGTTCATATTAACCAATGTGATCATGACTCAATCCTCTTATGCTATTGCCTCCCCATCAGCATTTCCCTCTCCAAGTTAACAAACTAAAAGCTCAAGACACTGCTTTTAATGGAGGATCAATGTAGATTTTGGCACATCTGCAGTAATATAGAGTTTTAGAACTAAGAGGAACAAATAAACATTAAATGTCACATGTAATGACTAAAATGCCTTTTAATTGACTGCCCAGTGTTTTATCTGTTACAAAGCCAAAGCGAACATGTAAATGATGTGGTCAAGTAGGAGGGCTACTGAAGATAAGAATAACAGAAATCTAACACACATTTAATTTTAGCTTATTTTCAGAGGCAGTAAGGAAAAGAACCAAAAAACCCCCACATCACATATTTCCAGAAACTAAGAACAAACATACACACTGTACAGGGAACATCTGTGGAGACTGCCACTGAATGCACTCAGCCATGCTGAGTTGTGGTGATCATTTACTTAATGCTGACTTCTTAGACCAGTGCATTAACTTATGATGAGGTAGTGCATTAACTGTGCCCCATCCCCATTCCTCTCCCCCCCCCCCCCCCAAAAAAAAAATCAAAATTCCCGATCACTGAAAGTGTCATGAACTTCCACCGCCTTGGGACCTACTTGGAAATAGACCCTCTTACTTGCTTCATGCTTTCCTAACACCTCCCTCCCAGTGCTCTCTTCATATGTTATTTCACATGCTCAAGAACTATGTACAACTGGAATAAGATGGGCAGGTTTTTTTCTGGGGGCATTAAATGTTTCAGACCAGTTTTACCTCCCAGCAGCAGACTTTCTGCATTTTTGGCTAACTGATGATCATCTTTAAAAATACTGTATAGAACGTGTTGCTGAGTAACCTCTAATACTTACACTAGGCAAGTGATTCAACGGACTAGTTCCTTCGAGGCAGTTTAGCTGCAAGAAAGAAGTTTCTAGGCTTGTCCTCATGCTTTGCAACAGCCTTTTCTTGCTAAGATGACTGTCTTCTTACATTTTCGATACTGTTTTCACACATTTGTGTGTAAGCAGGAGTAGAGATAAGGAAGATTTTAATCTTTGACAAAATAACAGGCTCATGGGTGAAACAAGTAATGGATTATTTTGCATGTGACTTGCAGCTGTCCTTCATCTACAAGGTGTCGTACACGAACCAAGAATAACTACCAGTAACAACAGGTAATAGTTGCTGCCGTGGAAAGCTTTCTGACTGCGCAGAGGTCCAGCTGATGTTGTTGGTTAAAGTCCCCTTTTATTTGCCCCACTACCACCTAAGAAACGTGATTTTAAAAGGTAAAGAGTAGGTCACTATCTTTCCTTCAACGAAAGTCTCTGTGAAGGTAATACTGGAAGGCAACTACTGAACACAAAAAGAGGAAGCTAGAACATTTTTTCCTGAGCTACCACCTTATATTTTTGACTGTCCTAGTAGAATTTATGAATTGACTGAACATGATGATACAGAAGCATCTTGCATGATTCACGTCCTAACATCTGTGTAAAATCAAACATGGTCACTGCTGGATCACTCGGCTCTGTAAAGAACCAGACGAAGCTTTAAGTCAAGTGTTTGCACTTGCTTGTTATACACTGAAAAAGATGACCCAAGTTTGGAGCCTCAAGAGAAATTAAAGCACCTGAAATTACAGAGTTTGTCATAATCACCTTTATCTCCTGCCTTACTTACAGTAGATACACTCTGTATCTTTTTATTAACAAGTTGTAAAAAGCTGTGAAAAAACTTGTCAAAAATGCACGCTTTAATATTTTTAAATAAATAAATGTAAGTGGTTACAGATTTTACTTCAAAATACAGATTTAAGAAAACATGTTATGAGCAAAAAAAAGTATAGGCTAGATTAAAACTTGAGTCTTTTAAACTCTACATTTCAGAAGTGCTTTAAAACAAGGCCTTAAAAATTTTCACGCTTACCTCAACAAGTCTAATTATAACACAGAGAAGTATGGTGCAATGTATTGTCAACACCAGATACTCCACACATTGGTCCTGGAGACTGGAAGCAAAGAGAACTGACTGAGAAAACAACAATCGTGTACTGCCTGTATTTATTGTTACGGTAAAGTTTAAGACTGTCATAAACCAAAATGGGAGGGGGAACAAATTCCAAAACCTGTAGTAGAAGAAGATGTTGCTTTGGTTCTTAACAATCCATACAAAAAGGAATTTCTATGTAAGTATAAATAACAGGAAAAAACATTCATATTGATACGAAGCTACTTAATCCATTAAAAGACGCAACGGAAAGTGAAACTCTTGAAGCAGTAGGAAAGTTTTATTTTGGTATACATCAACAAAAGTCTCAGCAGCTACAAATTTCTCTCAGTGTTGTTTCCACAGACCCACACTTTAAGGGTGCACCTGCTGCTCTTCCTAAGTAATTCCGGTAGCTCACGCTCCTAATGAACTATCTCGGAGCAATTCACATGTGGGCATAAAGACCGACAGCAAGGACCTGACCACCCTTCCATTTCTTCATGTTGTTACAACTCCTCCACCTTCCCAACATCAAACTGTAACACCCCGCAGCTGCTGAAGCCAGGATTCTCCCAACGAGAAGCTTTCAGCCTAGCCATGTTTAAACACCGCAGCAGCAGTGCTCTGCCAAATTGATGGGAGGTGTAGCGCCATCTTTTTTTCCTGGTCTGGATTATTTGATCAGAGTTTTCCCATACAAGCTAGGTGGGAGCTGTAGATTACCCAGGTCCTGCAATGCAGACAGATTTCTTTCTTCCAATTTCTTTTATCAGTTCTTAGGCACTGGATCTTTGGTATTTTTTCCAAGAGATTTTCTGGGTTTTGGCTATCTTGGACCGACATGTATGTAAGTAATGTGACAGAACCATCATGCCGTCCCGTCACCAAGTAAGAATACTTTTTAGTATTCTTTAGTTTATTTTTGTCCAGTAGCACTCCAACACTTTAAAAGACAGATTACTCACTTAAGAAGTTACACTGAAAAAAATGACCACCTGCTGCCTCTTGCACCATCTCACCTCATAGTTTTTAAGAGTAGGAATCAGCTCTGCAAACAATTGAAGTTCACGCATCAGTGATTACCCCACATGAAACTCTGCACCCCTACGAGCGTAAAAATCCAAAGGGAGGATGCCAAATGTGTCGGTCCACCCCCTGAAACACTCTGTAGGACAGAGGCCACCAGACCTGCTGTGTGGCTTTTGATTCCTGTAAAAGGTACTTCAATTTCCTCACATTAAAAAATGTATCAGAATGTGGTCAAGCAAGTCTGTCAGCTCCCTGTCAACCCTCCAAATTTTGCATACAGTTTAGAGGAACAGGAATTCCTTCTGCTGTCCTCAAAGGAACTGTTCAACCCCATGTTTACTGAAGTAATCATTAATTATAACACAATGGAAGCACTGACCGCAGCGAAATTAAACACTTAGGCTGAACCTCCATTCAGCAATGGCAAAGCAGGATCCACAGCAAAGCGGGACCCTTCCTTAAAAGCATCCGGCCCGACCAGATCCGTAACACCTTTCCGACCAGCCTTGCCTTCAGCTGTAGCGGAGGCGAGCAACAAGCCTCCGAGCACGGCCTCGCGAACGCTTAGAACAAGCACACATCTCCAACCGTGTCTCCTAAGGCATCACCGACGAGCCAAAGGTGTTAACTAGTGAGACGGTACACTGATTTTTTGGCCCGGGTACGAGCTGGGCTGCCTGTGCCAACTTCCCGGTTAGCGCCGGGGTCAGCCCTGAAGCGGGAGCGCCGCGTCCCCGCTGGCGAGCCTGCGCTGGGCACAACCCGAGGGGCTAACGTGTCGGGCGAGGGCCTCTGCGCCACGACCCAGGGCGGCACGCCCGTCACCTCGGCCTGCGCCTGCGACACCGGCCCGGCAGCCGAAGCCTCCGTGCTCTTGGGGCGGGAGGTGCTTCACCCCAGCTAGGCCGCAAGCCAGCCCGAGATGTCTCTCCCGTCGCCCTTTGCCCGGGAGCCGATGTCGCCTGAGAAGGGAAAGGCGCTCGCAGACGGAAGGCAGCCGCACCGGCCAGCGGCCGAGCCTGCCCGGGGCTCCCGCCGGCCCTCAGCGGGGCGGGCGGGCAGTGCAGCCGCGCCGCGACAGCCTCGGGAAAGGGGGAGCGCTCCTCCGCCCCGGCCGGGGCCTCAGGCTAACGGCCACCGGGACGGGGAAGAACCCTCCCAACCGCCAACTTCCGCCCCGCGATCACTTCCAGGTCGGCGAAGGCGGCAGGCGGCTTCCGGCGGGAGGATGCGGGGGGCGACCGGCCGCCGCTAAATCGCCGCCACCACCCCCACCGCCGCGGTGGGCGCGGGGCGGCGGCGCTCGGCGCTGCCGGGGCAGGTGTCCGGTCCGCTCCCCTC